ATATATTGTGAGACACAGCTTTTGTGCTTGTGTTGGAAAATCTAATGCACATGCGTCAAGCTCAAGGCACAGGGGCCGAATCCAGCCCACCAGGCCATTTCCTAGACTTCTACTTTCAGATCTAGATGATAAAGATTAGATACACTTATATAGTCTTACAGGACCTTTGAGGGCAACCATAATGTTGATGCGGCCCACGATTAAATTGAGTTTGACACCCCTGATCTAAAGGGTATTGTACAGAGATTGTAAAATCAGATTGTAAAATGTTTGGCCAGCTTTAACTCAATCCCTTTATTCCTTCCATCCATCCTAGGCCAAGGCTGTACATAGAGCCTTGACTTTACTCCAAGTCCCCCCCGAGTTAATCCCAATTATAGTGGCCATGCACATGGTAATCTTCTAGCAAGGTCGGCCACTTTTAAGCAGTTTTTGATCGCATGAAGCATATCAATGATGCATATTAAAGCAAACCTCCACTAAAAGGTTATATATTTATGTTCTTATTTATATGGCTGGGAAGATGGTAGGTTGCCTTAATCTATTTGTTTGTAATCACTCACGATCAAAATCTGTATGGAGATGGTTCACACGACTATAAAATTGCTGTGTATATGGCCAGCATTACTCAGTATTAATGCAGGATGAAAAATTAAAGTGGGGGACGGGCATCAGAGCCCAATATAAGTATCTTCTTCACCCTATCAAAATCTTATACTTGGTTGTCCATACTCCACCAAGATTTTCACTGGGTAGCCTGCTTGGCACCATACAGCGTATTCTTCACTTTACTGTAAGGTCTGGTACAAAGTGTCAGGTACAAATGTGTGGCTGCAATCTCCCTATATCCCTATGGACAGTTTGCACTCCATCAGAAAAAGCCTAAAGCTGAACTCCAGGTAGAAATTTTTATTTATACTTGCATTGGTCCAGCATGGCCCAATATAAGTATGCATATGCCATAGCTGATTGGTCGCTTGGTGTGGTCTGGAGCTACCACAGTGCTGGCAGCAATCTTCCAGGTCCTATTTTTGTACTGTATTGTGGACAAAGGGTAAAGCTTGACATTACTGCCGCTTGTCCAGTCACAGAATGCCTTGTATTCATTGGTAAAAATACTAGTCATTTTCTGAATGGCCACTGTGTTGAACAAGCAACCCCCTGTGATTTCAGAGCAGAGCGGAAGATGCTCAGCACAGCACAATACATGACTCGGAAGATCAAGGCCAGCATTGTTATAGCTCCAGCTAATAAAGTGCTTTACATGATCCCCGTGGGCTAATCAGGTATGGCATATGCATACTTAAATTGTGAGTATGCAGAATCATTTATACCTGGAGTTTAGCTACACTTTAGGGATTTCAGGGCTTGGAAGTGGATAAAGAGATTCTTATGATTTCTGGATAGGGCAATATATATTTCTCCAAATATAATGTCATAATTAATTTCACTCCGTCAGTAAAATATCTGTAAATATTGCTTACATTACAGTACATTTTAATGTCAGGTTTATAAACTCTGACCCAATGATGCTTAGAAATGGTATTTTATTTATTGATATGGCATCTTTCCCTCTCCTTGAGGAGTCTATAGGAAAAAAAAATCTATATCCTTAACTGACCATTTACATAAAAGTCCTTTATTCCCAAGGCTTACATATAAGTCGTTCCATTCCATCTTAATAATGGACATTATAAACTAATTTCCTTCAGAATCCGGTCAGTGCCATCCACTATATTAAGGAGACAAGGTTGCGGAGATTGGTGTACAGAGAGTAGGAGAGATGGGAGGGGTAAAACGTGGCTGGCAATCCGCATTGGAAATGTACAAGAGTGTCCAGGGAGTTTGCTAATAATAAAAATCTTTCCCAGCACACA